CTGACCACGGAACAACCGACTGGTTCAAGATTGGGAAAGGCGTACGGCAAGGCTACTCTCACCCAACCTTTTTAACTTGTATGCAGAACACATCATGCGAGGATGTGCGCAGCTTGAGGAATGCAAAGCTGGGGTGAAAATTGCTGGAAGAAACATTAACAACCTCAGATATGCAGATGACACCACTGATGGCCGAAAGCGAGGAGGAGCTGAGGAGCCTTCTAATCAAGGTGAAAGAAGAAAGCGCAAAAGCCTGGGTTGCAGCTAAACATCAAAAAAACCAAGATTATGGCAACAAGAATGATTGACAACTGGGAAATAGAGGGAGAAAACGTGGAGGCCGTGACAGACTTTGTATTTCTAGGTGCAAAGATTACTGCAGATGCAGACTGTGGCCAGGAAATCAGAAGACACTTACTTCTTGGGAGGAGAGCAATGTCCAGTCTCGATAAAATAGTGAAGAGTAGAGACATCAGACTGGCAACAAGATCCATTGCCTAGTCAAAGCCATGGTCTTCCCTGTAGTCACCTACGGATGTGAGAGCTGGACCTTCGGGAAGGCTGAGCCAAGGAAGAGAGATGCTTTTGAGCTGTGGTGTTGGAGGAAAGTGCTGAGAGTGCCTTGGACTGCGAGAAGATCCAACCAGTCCATCCTCCAGGAAAGAAAGCCCGACTGCTCACTGGAGGGAAGGATACTAGAGACAAAGTTGAAGTACTTTGGCCACATCATGAGGAGACAGGAAAGCCTAGAGAAGACAATTATGCTGGGGAATGTGGAAGGCAAAAGGAAGAGGGGCCGACCAAGGGCAAGATGGATGGATGGCATCCTTGAAGTGACTGGACTGACCTTGAAGGAGCTGGGGGTGGTGACGGCCGACAGGGAGCTCTGGTGTGGGATGGTCCATGAGGTCACGAAGAGTCGGAGATGACTGAACGAATGAACAACAAACCATGTTATCTTCCGTCTGCTCCGCTATTGAGGTCTTCGGGTCTTCAGATTGTGCTTGGTCTGGAACCTCCTCTGCAGCCAATCAGGGCGTGCATGACTCTGCTGGTTGTGCCCGCAGGTTCATTGGAACACGCAAGCTCCCTCACCACAAGATGACAATCCATCGAAGAGTGTTTCTGGAATGTCCAGATTGGTTCGTCAATTCAACCAGAGAAGTCAGATATAGCAGAGCACCTGATCATCCTGGAAAGAAGTGACGAGTGGAGTGCCAAAGCAGCGTTCCGTCCTGGGCCCGGTTCTGTTCAACATCTTTATCACTGACTGAGATGAAGGGCTAGAAGGCAGGATCATCAAGTTTGCAGACGACACCAAATTGGGAGGGAGAGCCAATACTCCAGAGGACAGGAGCAGGATTCAAAACGATCTTGACAGATTAGAGAGATGAAGGGCCAAAACTAACAAAATGAAGTTCAACAGGGACAAATGCAAGAGACTCCACTTTGGCAGGAAAAACGAAATGCAAAGATACAGAATGGGGGACTGCCTGGCTCGAGAGCAGTACGTGTGAAAAAGATCTTGGAGTCCTCGTGGAAAACAAGTTAAACATGAGCCAACAATGTGATGTGGCGGCAAAAAAAGCCAATGGGATTTTGGCCTGCATCAATAGGAGCATAGTGTCTAGATCTAGGGAAGTAATGCTCCCCATGCTCTATTCCGCTTTGGTTAGACCACACTGGAATATTGTGTCCAATTCTGGGCACCACAATTCAAGAGAGATATTGACAAGCTGGAATGTGTCCAGAGGAGGGTGACTAAAAGGATCAAGGGTCTGGAGAACAAGCCCTATGAGGAGCGGCTTAAGGAGCTGGGCATGTTTAGCCTGAAGAAGAGAAGGCTGAGAGGAGATATGATAGCCATGTATAAATATGTGAGAGGAAGCCACAGGGAGGAGGAAGGAGCAAGCTTGCTTTCTGCTTCCTTGAAGACTAGGACGCAAGGGAACAATGGCTTCAAACGACAAGAGAGGAGATTCCATCTGAACATGAGGAAGAACTTCCTGACTGTGAGAGCAGTTCAGCAGTGGAACTCTCTGCCCCGGAGTGTGGTGGAGGCTCCCTCTTTGGAAGCTTTGAAACAGAGGCTGGGTGGCCATCTGTCAGGAGTGATTTAAATGCAATTTTCCTGCTTCTTGGCAGAATGGGGTTGGACTGGATGGCCCATGAGGTCTCTTCCAACTCTAGGATTTTATGATTCTATGAAAACTTTATTCAACTGCGAAAACTTTGTTTTGTGGGAGGGGCATCTTGCAGCACATTACCATAGTTCATTTTTTCAATTAATATCTCCTCATCGAATCTCAACTTGCTGGAACACCTCAGCAAGCGAGAGTCCAAAATTGGCAGGCTCAAACCCAGAACCTCAATCAGTGACTGAGATTGGATGAGAGACTCCCCCCTGGGCACACAGAGGACTGGGCAACTTGGAAGGCGCTGAACAGACTGTGCTCGGGCACCACGAGATGCAGAGCCAACCTTCAGAAATGGGGCCACAAAGTGGAGTCCGCGACATGCGAGTGCGGAGAAGAGCCAACCACTGACCACCTGCTGCAATGCAACCTGAGCCCTGCCACATGCACCATGGAGGACCTCCTTGTGGCAACACCAGAAGCACTCCAAGGGGCCAGATACTGGTCAAAGGACATTTAATCCACTACCAAACTCACAAATTTTGTATTTTGTCTGTTTGTATGCTTTGTTCTGTTAGAAATATAATATAATTTGACTGGTTGCCCTGACACGACAAATAAATCTCAACCATTCCAACCTAGTTTGTGGCAGCCACAAAAACAAAGTTTCTGGAGGAGAACAACAACTTTCAAAGTCAGGACCGAACCATTAAACAGGAAATTAAACTTTCAAACCAGGAACAGAACATTCTTCCAATTTTGTTACCTAGTGTAATATTTATATTTCATTTTCCTCTCTTAATCAGGACACCGTTAATTGTGGAGAAGGTCATTGTGGAGTATTGATATTGGAGAAGGGGAGGCGCAAAGCCAAGGTCCAGCCGTCCTCAACCAGCATCCATGACAATGACCTTTGGCTCATTTATCCTAGATAAGCATGCAAATTGATTGAGCATGGAAGGAGAGGGCTCCAGGGTTGGCTCAGAGCATAGTCGTGACTGTTTTGCCTTTGCAACCCCCTAAGATCGCTCACTGCTGAGGTTGTTTGGAGCTTGTTTTCAGCGATGTGGAGAGTGGAACTATTTTCCCCTCAAATTGCTGCCATTGTACACAATGCTAGAGTCATAGGATCCTAGAGTTGGAAGCGCCACCCAATCCAACCCTCTTCTTTCAGGCAGGAAGACACCATCAAAGCCCTCCTCACAGATGGCCATCCAGCCTCTGCTTAAAACCTCAAACAGCTCTGTCAGGATGTTGGGTTGTTGTAGGTTTTTTCGAGCTATATGGCCATGCTCTAGAGGCATTCTCTCCTGACGTTTTGCCTGCATCTATGGCAAGCATCCTCAGAGGTAGTGAGGTCTGTTGGTACTAGGAAAAGGGGTTTATATATCTGTGGAATGACCACAGATATTTGTCTGCTGGAGCTAGGTGTGAATGGTTCAACTGACCACCTTGATTAGCATTTGATGGCCTGGCAGTGCCTGGGGCAATCTTTTGTTGAGAGGTGATTAGATGTCTTTGTTCGCTGCGTTTGGTGGTTGTTTTGCTGTTGTAATTTTAGAGTTTTTTAATACCAGTAGCCAGATTTTGTTCATTTTCATGGTTTCCTCCTTTCTGTTGAAATTGTTCACATGCTTGTGGATTTCAATGGCTTCTCTGTGTAGCCTGACATGGTGGTTGTGAGAGTGGTCCAGCATTTCTGTGTTCTCAAATAATATGCTGTGTCCAGGTTGGTTCATCAGGTGCTCTGCTATGGCTGACTTCTCTGGTTGAAGGAGTCTGCAGTGCCTTTCATGTTCCTTGATTCGTGTCTGGGCAATGCTGCTGCGTTTGGTGGTCCCTATGTAGACTTGTCCACAGCTGCATGGTACATGGTAGACTCCTGCAGAAGCGAGAGGATCCCTCTTGTCCTTTGCTGAACGGAGCATTTGTTGGATTTTTTTGGGTGGGTCTGTAGATAGTTTGTATGTTGTGTTTCCTCATCAGCTTCCCTCTGCGGTCAGTGGTTCCCTTGATGTATGGCAAGAACACTTTCCCTCTGGGTGGGTCTCCGTTTTGACTCTCGTGGCTTCTTCTCGGTTGTCTTGCAGCTCTTCTGATGTCTGAGGTGGAGTCTCCATTGGCCTGGAGAGCCCAGTTGAGGTGGTTCAGTTCCTCTTGGAGGAGGTGGGCTGTGCAGGTTCTTTTTGCACGGTCTGCCAAGGCTTTAATGGGTCTTCTTTTTTGACTTGGGTGGTGGTTGGAGTTTTGATGTAGATATCTATCTGTGTGTGGGGATTTTCTGTAAACAGTGTGACCCAATTGATCTGGTTTGTGGATGACTAGGACATTTAGAAAAGGCTGTGGTTGTTTGGAGCTTGTTTTGCAGCGATATGGAAAGCAGGACTATTTCCCCCTCAAATTGCTTCCATTGTACACAATGCTAGAGTCATAGAATCCTAGAATTGGAAGGGCCACCCAATCCAACCTTCATCAAATCCCTCCCAACAGATGGCCATCCAGCTTCTGCTTAACAACCTCAAGCAGCTCTAACTCTCAGGACGTTCTTCCTAAGGTTTAGGTGGAATCTCCTTTTCTGCAATTTAGTCCTAATCCCTGGAGCAGCAGAAAACAATATGGCATCCTATCAAACATGGTTCGCATGTCGCCTTTCTCAGCCTTCTCCGAGCTAAACATCCCCAGCTCTCAAAGCCTCTCCTCAGTGGGATTCATAGTTTCCTGACCCTTGACCATTTTTGTTGCTGGTCCATATATGGTAAAGACCATTCTTACTGAGATTGAGAGATGGCAACATTTAGCAGTGGCTTGAATTGTTTTGTGGTGGAGTGAGACAGAAAGTCTTCATCTGTTTTTCCCCCTTTTCAGGCTCTTTTGCAAGTGGCCAAGAACCTCTTCACGCATCTCGGTGAGTATCCCAGGAGTCCTTTTTTTATATATGGTTGCGTCAATGGCATATTTATGTGTATTGCATTACTTTATTTAAAGTCACCTGATGCATCTACACCGTGTCTACTAGGATTGTGCAAAATTATCATTAGTCGGATCAAATTCATGTACTTTTGGCCTTCTAACTGGCTTCTTCTCTCCCTCGCAGATGACGTTTCGGTCCTGTTGCAGGAGATCATCACAGAAGCCCGAAATCTCAGCAATGCCGAAATGTGAGCAATATCGCCTCTTTGGCAGAAACCAGCTCTTTTTTGGGAGTTTCTGTTTCCCTGAAGTATATTATTAGTACTATAATATTAAGATTTATTCCACCTGCTATCACAAGAAACATAGATTTCTGGAATGACATTCTCAAGTTGTCCTAGACCTATTATTATTATTATTATTATTATTATTATTATTATTATTATTTGAAACACAACAAGATGAGTCCACAGCAGACACTCTGCTGGCTGTTGTATTGGATCACACGTCGGACACTTCACAAGTGTCTAGGACGGTGAGATGTATTGGCAAATAATGTGTGTAGGCCCCAGTACGGTGGCCTTTTGCAACTGGCAGATGGTAATTTTGTCAGTGCCAATTGTTTTTAAGTGCTGGCCAAGGGCTTTAGGCACTGCACCCAGTGTGATGATCACCAGTGGGACCACCTTGACTGGTTTGTGCCAGAGTCTTTGCAGTTCGATCTTTAAATCCTCATATCGTGTCAGCTTTTCCAGTTGCTTCTCTTCAATCCTGCTGTCATCTGGGATTGCAACGTCAGCGATCCATACTTTGTTTTTTAACATGATTGTGAGACCAGGAGTCTTGTTAGAGAATCATAGAATCAAAGATTTGGAAGGGACCTCCTGGGCCATTATCCACTCCAACCCCATTCTGCCAAGAAGCAGGAATATTGCATTCAAATCACACCTGACAGATGGCCAGCCAGCTTCTGTTTAAAAGCTTCCAAAGAAGGAGCCTCCACCACACTCCGGGGCAGAGAGTTCCACTGCTGAACGACTCTCACAGTCAGGAAGTTCTTCCTCATGTTCAGATGGAATCTCCTCTCTTGTAGTTTGAAGCCATTGTTCCATTGCGTCCTAGTCTCCAGGGAAGCAGAAAACAAGCTTGCTCCCTCCTCCCTGTGGCTTCCTCTCACATATTTTATACATGGCTATCATGTCTCCTCTCAACCTTCTCTTCTTCAGGCTAAACATGCCCAGCTCCTTAAGCCGCTCCTCATAGGGCTTGTTCTCCAGACCCTTGATCATTTTAGTCGCCCTCCTCTGGACACATTCCAGCTTGTCAATATCTCTCTTGAATTGTGGTGCCCAGAATTGGACACAATATTCCAGGTGTGGCCTAACCAAGGCGGAATAGAGCATGGGGAGCAGGACTTCCCTAGATCTAGACACTAGGTTCTACACTACACTATTATTATTATTATTTGAAACACAACAAGATGAGTCCACAGCAGACAAGATCACTCTGCTGGCTGTTGTATTGGATCACACGTCGGACAATTTCCAAGTGTCGAGGACTGTGTGATGTACTGGCAAATAATGCATGCAGACCCCAGTAAGGTGGCCTGCTGCAGCTGGCAGATGGTAATTTTGTCAGCGCCGATTGTAGTAATTACTGTATTTATGAATTTAGCACCAAAATATCGCAATGTATTGATCTGGGCGGGAGGCAGACTTCGTTGGAGAATACAGAACATTGGAGGAAAGACGAAATTCAAGAAAATGACAGGAGAAATGCCTAACGTCTGTCCTCTGTGGTGTTGTTTGCAGATGCTCAGTTTTCCTCTTGGACCGAAGCAGCCACGAATTGGTCGCCAAAGTTTTCGACGGAGGAGTGGTGGACGATGAGGTAGGAAGTCCTGGGAGGAAATAAGGTGTCTAGTTCATTATCTGGCCAAAGCCCTGGTGCTTATCTAATTAACCGACTTCAAAAGTTTTCTGCTCCAACTGAGCATCTTTTACCTTTATTTGCATTTCAACTACAGTGTTCCCTCACTTATCACGGGTGTTACGTTTCAGGACCACTCGTGAAAAGTGAAAATCCGTGAAGTAGGGACACTATTGTTGCACTCCAAGACAGGAAAAACCCTCTGACTGTAAACACCACACCACTGATTGGAAAAGAAAATCCTTTTAGTGAAGATAATCAGAAAGCAGCAAGTAAAAAGCACTTTAAAGAAATAGGTAAATCCAATTAGGTAAGAAGATAAGCAGGAGCAAAAATAGTCCAGGGTAAAGTTCAGCAAAGTCCATAAAAACAAAGTCCACACTTCTCTAATATAATTCAGGAAAACAGGAAACATTAATCCAAGGCATGAGTAGGCATTCATACAATCCAAGAATCCAAACCATGAAACAAGAAATACTTAGACAAGAATCTTCCAAGCAAAGCTTCCATGAAACAAAGGACGAGAACTACACTTGATTCCAACAATGCTTCATCTGACTATATTTTCCAAACTTGGAACTTTTATCCCCTCGTTAAACTATTCCATGGACTAAGGAATTGGTTTTGTTTTACTTGAGATCCCCTTATCTTTTTCTGTCGGAGCCTGGCAGAACGCCGAAGGCACTGTTCGGCATGTCTGTTTTGACTAATCTCCTGCCTCCTATCTATTTGCCCCTTTTAGTTTTGCAGCTGGGCCAGGTGCCCAGTTGTTTTCAAGCCCCAAATCTTGGGAACCCTCGGGTAGCAATTCAGGGAGTACACCATCATTCCCACACCCTTCAAGGACATTCTTATGGGAAACTACACTTTGCACAGGGATCTCCTGGTCCTTTTCTGCATAGCATCATTGACCAAACCATTGACATTGCATTGGTATTACTTCGCACATCCAAAGCGCCCTGATCCTGATACGCATCCACAGTCTGAAGTACAAAAGCTATATATGTATATTGAGTTCTGAGGGTGAGATAGAAGTGAAGAGAGATTTAAAATCACCGCACACTTTTTTTTGCTAGCTATCTCTGCTTTGCTTTGCAATCTCTCTTGAGTGGCTGCCTCCATCCCAAGGGGGAGGGTGAAACCCCTTTCCACACTCCATAATTGCCAGGAGGTGGGATTAGAATGCTGCTCTGGGCAAAGGCACCTTGGGAAGACTGACTTGGCCACGGTAGTCCACGCTCTGGTTACATCCCGTATAGACTACTGCAATGCTCTCTACGTGGGGTTGCCTTTGAAGACTGCTCGGAAGCTTCAAATGGTCCAACGCTCGGCAGCCAGGATGCTAACAGGAGCAGCACTCAGGGAGCATACAACTCCTCTGTTGCTCCAGCTCCACTGGCTGCCAATTTGCTACCGGGCACAATTTAAAGTGCGGGCCTTAGCTTATAAAGCCCTAAACGGTTCTGGCCCGACTTAGCTGTCCGAACGCATCTCCTCCTATGAACCAGCTAGGACATTAAGATCATCTGGGGAGGCCTGGCTCTCAGTCCCGTCGGCATCACAAGCACGCCTGGCGGGGACGAGAGACAGGGCCTTCTCAGTGGTGGCCTCTCGGCTGTGGAACGCCCTTCCTACAGATATCAGATCGGCCCCCTCCCTATTGGCATTTCGGAGGAAAGTGAAGACCTGGCTGTTTGAACAGGCATTCGATTAGGCAGTGTAATTGATTACAGGAACACGGAATAACGGATGATGAGATTGGATTCTGATTCTATTGACAAGACACGAATGATTTGTCATATTGATGTTTAATTGTTGTTATGCTATTGTTTTTAAACGTTCCAATGGTTTTGTAATGTGTGCATTGAAATTGCTGCTGTTAACCGCTTTGAGTCGCCTAAGGGCTGAGAAAAGCGGCACATAAGTGAAGTAAATAAATAAATAAATAAAGGCAACCATTCATAAACTGGGAGCCAAAAACCCATGAAAGAGCGAGTTCACGAAAAGTGAACCACAAAGTAGCGAGGGATGGCGATTGTTGACATATATATTGTTCCTTATTACCTCATTAATTCAAATCCAGCATGCTGCAATGACATGTAGGATTTATGGGAGTTGAAGTCCAAAACAGCTGGAGGAAGTGCCCAAGTGGGCCTGTGCTTAGTATAGAGAAAGAGTCCATATTCAGGTCTCTCCTCCTTCCTTGGCCTCAGAGCTACGAGATCCGGATTCCGGCGGATCAGGGCATCGCGGGCCATGTGGCTACGACCGGGAAGATCCTCAACATCAAGGACGCCTACTCCCATCCGCTCTTCTACCGCGGGGTAGACGACAGCACTGGCTTCCGCACCCGGAACATCCTCTGCTTCCCCATCAAGGATGAGAATCAAGGTCAGTGCAATACGAAGGATACGGTCCTGTTGGAGGAGAGTGGCCAAAATGGCCAAAGGTCTGGAAACCAGGCCTTGATGGGGGGGAAAAGCTGAACATGACTTGAGAGTATGCTGCAGCAGCTAAAAAGGCCTTTGCAATTCTAGGCTGCATCAGTAGGATGATTGTACCTAGATCGAGGCGAGTCATAACTAGTCTGCTTTAACCAGTCCTTGTCAGAGGGGTTAAATAAATACACAAACCACCCTCTGGGTAGGTATATAAATTATTCCCTCTATTCATGTCCTCCCAGAGCTGTGACGGCACGAGTGGCGCCACCTATGTATAGAACTGTTAGTTGCAAGATTTAAACTGTTGTATCATGCTTAATCCTGCCCCTTTTACCCTGCTTATGTATAGTTGTATGGATTGGTTACTTATAGCTGTCAATCAGTACTGTTTGGCTCCACCTCTTCCTGCAGGAGGGGAGTGCTTCCTTTTCTTTTCATTCTGCCATCAGAGTTCCTACCATATGGACGTGACTCTAAAAGACCCTGGTTTAAATTACCTCTTAGCACCAGTTCTGAGGTTTTTTACCCTTGAGACTTGTGCTTCATGTTCAGACCAACCTGAACAACGTTGGAAGTCTCAAGCGCCTTCAAACTGGTTCTTTTGGCACCAAAGGAAGATCCTGAGTCTTCAAACATAGGCCATCTGAACTGGGGTTGTGGTTTGCTCCGGCATTCACAGCCATTGAGGAAAGAGGAAACTTGGTGAGGCTTCTCCAATTGTCTGGTGATTATGTGGAAAAGTGAATAGTGGTCGTTAAAGAGCACATTCTAAGGATTATTTCTGCATTTAATTTATTAAAATATTCCCATCCAAACCCAAGTAACGAAGGTGGAGGCATTACTTTTCATTCAACCCTCATAGTAGATTATTATAAACCATGTTCTGGCTTTAAAAAATGGATTTCCTAATACCTTGGAAACCTGAAACCCGTATCGGAGTCTCTTTCATTGGAGAATTTTAAGCAGTGCCTGGATGGCCATCTGTCAGGAAGGATTGGATTGTGTCTTCCTAAATGATGGAAAGAAAGGGGTTTTTGTTATTATCCTATGAAGGATAATAAAGAAGGAAGAAATTTGTCCCCAGTTTTTACCCGCTATTCCTTAAGGATTGGAAGGAAAATTGAAGTATAGGGAGCATCCAACGAACTTGACAAATGAGGGACCAGAGTGCTGTCAGAAAGTGGAATTGGTTGAAAAGTGAAATCCTGGTTATTGCATTTTGGCCTCCACAAAACATAAGGATTTTCCCTCTTGACCTTCTCTTCTCCAAGCCAAACACCTCCAAGCAACTTCTCATAGAGTTTTATGGTTTCCAGACCATGGACCATTTTGGACATCGTCCATCTTGTCCATCTTCTCCTTGAATTGCTTTGAACTGAACACAGGGTTATTTACTCCAGGTGAAAAGGTCTGGCCAAAGCAGAAGAGAGTGGGGTGACGACTTCCCTCAATCTGGACTCTATCCACGTCCTCCTAATGCAGCCTAGAACCTCTTGAATGAGATGGACCAAGCCTCTGTGGTTGCTGTCCCCTTTCTTTCTCCCACCATTCATGGTCTTCTCTTCACTTCTTCCAGAGGTCATCGGAGTGGCTGAACTGGTCAACAAAATCAATGGCCCCTGGTTCAGCAAGTTTGATGAGGACCTGGCCACTGCATTCTCCATCTACTGTGGTATCAGCATTGCCCATGTGAGATGCTCCTATCTATCTATCTATCTATCTATCTATCTATCTATCTATCTATCTATCCATCTTATCCATCCATCCAACCATCTATCATCTACCAAATTTAATCTATTTTTCTATACTATCTATTCTATCTATCTATTCTTCTATCTGTCCATCCATCTATCCATCTATCTTATCCATCCATCCATCCATCCATCCATCCATCCATCATCTACCTAATTTAATCAATTGTCTATACCTATCTAATATTATCTATTCTATCTATTCAATCCATCCATCAATTCATCATCCATCCATCTTATCCATCCAACCATCTATCCATCTATCTTATCCATCCATCCATCCATCCATCCATCATCTACCTAATTTAATCAATTGTCTATACCTATCTAATATTATCTATTCTATCGATTCTATCCATCCATCAATTCATCATCCATCCATCTTATCCATCCAACCATCTAATTAATTTAATCTATTTTTCTATACCTATAATATTATCTATTCTATCTATTCATTCTTCTATCTGTTTATCTTCTATCCTATATTTTTTATCTATCTATCTATCTATCTATCTATCTATCTATCTATCTATCTATCTATCTATCTACCTATCTATCTATCTATCTATCTATCTATCTCTCCATCCATCCATCCATCCATCCATCCATCTATCCATCTTATCCAACCAACCAACCAACCAACCAACCATCTATCATCTACCAAATTTGATATATTTTTCTATACTATCTATTCTATCTATCTATTCTTCTATCTGTCCACCCATCTATCCATCTATCTCATCCATCCATCCATCCATCCATCCATCCATCTATCATCTACCTAATTTAATCAATTTTCTATACCTATCTAATATTATCTATTCTGTCTATCTATTCTATCCATCCATCAATTCATCTATCCATCCATCCATCTTATCCATCCAACCATCTAGTTAATTTAATCTATTTTTCTAAACCTATAATATTATCTATTATATCTATTCAGTCTTCTATCCTATCTTTTTTCTATCTGTCTGTCTGTCTGTCTGTCTCTCCATCCATCCATCCATCCATCCATCTATCCATCTTATCCATCAATCCATACATACATACATATATACATACAACCATCTATCATCTATCAAATTTGATATATTTTTCTGTACTATCTATTCTGTCTATCTATTCTTCTGCCTGTCCGTCCATCTATCTATCTTATCCATGCATCCATCCATCCATCCATCTATCATCTACCTAATTTAATCAATTTACTATACCTATCTAATATTATCTATTCTGTCTATCTATTCTATCCATCAATCAATTTGTCTATCCATCCATCTTATCCAACCAACCATCTAGTTAATTTATTTTTCTATACCTATAATATTATCTATTCTATCTATTCATTCTTCTATCTTTTTTCTATCTATTATCTATCTATCTATCTATCTCTCTCCATCCATTCATCCATCCATCCATCCAACCATCTATCATCTACCAAATTTAATCTATTTTTCTATACTATCTATTCTATCTATTCTTCTACCTGTCCACCCATCCATCTATCTATCTTATCCATCCATCCATCTATCTGTCAACTACCTAATTTAATCTATTTTCTATACCTATCTAATATTATCTATTCTATCTATCATATCTATGCTATCCATCTATCTTATTCATCCATCCATCCATCTTATCCACCCAACCATCTAATTAATTTAATCTATTTTATATACTTATAATATTATATGTTCTATCTAGTCATTAGGCTTGGGCAATCCATGGTTCTAAATGGTTGTGAAAATTTCTGGTGGTGAAAATTTCAGAACTCTAACAAAACTTTCAAAATTTAATTATTATTTCATTATTGGTGATTTTAATGACAGAACCAATTAGGAACTGCCATTTATTATGAAATTTTGAGAGTTTTGTTAGAGTTCTGAAATTTTCACCACCAGAACTTTAGTTTTGTAAGTACTTTAGAACCATTTAGAACCATGGATTGCCCAAGCCTACTAGTCATTCTTCTATCTATTTCTTTTCTAGCCTATATTTTTCTATTATCTATCTATCTATCAATCAATGTATCTATCTATTCTAATCGATATCTCCTATCGTCTATCTAAATCTTATCCATCCAACCATCTATCATTTAGTCAATTTAATCTATTTTTCCTATACCTATAATATTATCTATATTATCTATTCTATCCATTCTATTTATCTTCTATCTTTTTACTGTTATCTATCTATCAATCAATGTATCTATCTATTCTAATCGATATCTCCTATTGTCTATATAATGTATATATCTATCTGTCAATCCATTTATCTTTCTATCTAGTGATTGTCTTATTTAATCTATATTTCTATATCTTATTTATCTATCTATTTTCTATCCTTTTTCTACTTATATTAACTTATCTATCTGTGTCTATCAATTTACCTATCAGCGATCTAATTTAATCTATCTACTTATACCTATCATCTATCTAATCTATATATTATCAATATCTTTTAGTGATCTATAAATGTATCTGTCATCTGTTTTATCTAATCAGTCAATGTATCTGTCTTCGCCTTTTATCTATCTAATCTAATCATCTATGCTATGATCTAGCTATCATTCTGCCGTCTCTATTTTATAATTATCATCTATCTATCTATCTATCTATCTATCTATCTATCTATCTATCTGTTGTTAAAGGCTTTCATGGTTGGAATCACTGGGTTCTTGTAGGTTTTTCAGGCTGTCTGGTCATGTTCCAGAAGCATTCTCTCCTGACATTTCACCTACATCTGTGGCAGGCATCCTCAGAGGTTGTGAGGTCCGTTGCAAACTAGGAAAATTGAGTTTATATACCCGTGGAAAGCCCAGGGTGGGAGAAAGAACTCTTGTCTGTTGGAGGTAGGTGTGAATGTCTCAATTGGCCACCTTGATTAGCATTTGATGGCCTGACAGTTTTTAGGTGTGGCTTGTTACTGCCTGGTGGAATCCTTTGTTGAGAGAGGATTCGCTTTGTTGGCCTCACAACCTCTGAGGATGTCTGCCATAGATGCAGATGAAATGAATGCTTCTAGAATATGGCTCTATCTATCTATCTATCTATCTATCTATCTATCTATCTATCTATCTACCTATCTACCTATCTATCTATCTATCTATCTATCTATCTATCTATCTATCTACTTATCTATCTATCTATCTACCTATCTATCCTATCTATCAATTATCTATCTATCTATCTATCTATCTATCTATCTATCTATCTATCTATCTCATCTATCTGTCTATCTGTCTATCTATCTCTACCTATCTATCTATCTATCTATCTATCTATCTATCTATCTATCTATCTATATACCTACCTATCTATCTATCTATCTATCTATCTATCTATCTATCTATCTACCTACCTACCTACCTACCTACCTACCTACCTATCTATCTATCTATCTATCTATCTCACACTCTCTCTACTATCTATCTATCTATCTACCTATCTACCTACCTATCTACCTACCTATCTACCTACCTATCAACCTACCTACCTATCTATCTATCTACCTACCTATCTATCTACCTATCTAATAGATCTGTTTCTCTGCCTGTTCATTGTATGTTGTCTCTTTGCTGCTTTTTGGCCAACTCTAAACTTGGTCTTTGTCTCTCCTCTGCTCCCTCCAGTCCCTGCTCTACAAGAAGGTTGGGGAGGCCCAATACCGGAGTCACCTGGCTAATGAGATGATGATGTACCACATGAAGGTAAGCACTGACCACGTCCGAAAGAAAAACATACACTGATGCCTTCGTATTCCTCCATCCAAAAGGAGCCTCCAGGCAGCATTTGGGTGCATTGCCTTCTCCAAGGCAAGAAGGAGTTGCTTCAAAAGTTAAATAACAGACAGCCCCCACATTTTCTGAGATGTGGGGGGGGGGGGGGCTGTGAAAAAGTTGGGGGAAATGCAAATGAAAGGCACTTCCTAGCAAAATTTGAGTTGACTGGAAGAAGAGAGTCCAAAGGAGAGACCTCTGCCAGCCCACTCAGGAAGGAAGGAAGGAAGGAAGGAAGGAAGAGGGAGGGAGGGGGAGAAAGAAAGGAGGAAAGAATGAATGAATGAATGAATGAATGAAAGAAAGAAAAAAGGGAGGAGAAAGAAAGAGGGAAGAAAGAAAGGAAGAAGAAAGAAAGAAAGAAAGAAAGAAAGAAAGAAAGAAAAGGAGGGAGAAAGAAAGGAAAGGAGGAAGAAAGGAAAGAAAGAAAGGAAAAAGAAAGGAAGGAAGGAAAGAGGAAAGGAAGGGGAAAGGGAAGGGAGGAAAAAGCGAGGGAAAGAAGGAGGAATGAGAGGAGAAAGAAAGAAAGAAAGAAAGAAAGAAAGAAAGAGGAAGGAAGAAAGGGAAGGGAGGAAAAAGAGAGGGAAAGAGGGAGGAATGAGAGGAGAAAGAAAGGAGGGAAGAAAGAAAGAAAGAAAGAAAGAAAGAAAGAAAGAAAGAAAGAAAGAAAGAAAGAAAGAGAAAAAGAAGAGAACTAGAAAGGAGGCAAGGGGAAGAAGGAAAAGGAGAAAAAGGAAGGAAAAAAAAGAGAGATATAAAGACAAAGAGAGAAGGAAAGGGAGAGAGAACAAGGAAGGGAAGGGAATGGAAATGAAAGGAAAGGAGGAAGGGAAAAGAGCGGGAAAGAGGAAGAGATGAAGAATCCTAGCATTGGAAGAGACCTGGTGGGCCATCCAGTCCAACCCCATTCTGCCGACGAACGCATTCAAAGGACTCCCATCCAGCCTCGTTTAAAAGCCTCCAAAGAAGGAGCCTCAATGGCTTAGAAGTCCAAAAAAAGTACTGTAAATGAAATTTAAGAAGCTTGAACCTGTTTCATTGCCCCAGAGTTGGACACGAGTGGACTTAATATCAGGGGAAAACCTTTACCTTAATCATTTAATTGCATTGTGTGACCATATTAGCCTACTTGTATGTCCCTCTGAGATTGTAATTAAGGAAGAAGAAGAAGAGATTCTTCATTGCTTATTCTCTTCCAGGTCTCCGACGATGAATACACGAAGCTTCTCAACGAGAACATTTTGCCCGTGGCGAACATCGACACAGACTTTGCCAAATTCACGTACACTCCACGTTCCCTTCCTGATGACGACACATCTATGGTGAGTATTGTGGTTGTCGTTGTTGTTGTTCCCCTGCTTTCCGCTCTCAAACAAGACTCAAAGTGTTGTTCTCTGTCCTTGAAACATCCAACAAGTCATTCCTGGGAGCTGGAATCACTATTGGTTGAAATTCCATGAATTTCAAGTTAATACATTAAGTTGCAACTCAGAGTAAGCTTCACCTTGCTTCCAAACACCACCACACAAGAGCTGTAGTTTTATAGTTTATTGAGGAAAAAATCCAAGTCAAAATAAAGAGTAAGCATTGCAAAGTTCCAAAGATTAAGGTTAAATGCAGAATATAGTTCCAAAGATCTTCAGGTAAAAGCAAGAGACACAATCCTATTGGCAAAGTTCAAACCCGAGTCCCAGGTACAAGCAATGAAACAATTGGCCCATGAATCACAATGCAAGAAATCCCAAGCGTACTGCTTTCCAGGCTGAGATTATTCCATGAAGATTCCAGGCTAATAAGCTACGTTGAACTGACACTTTCCCTTGGTTTGCAAGAAGCCTAAATACCTTTCTAACATGAAAACATTACATGAAATCATTGCGATGACCTTTCACCGAGCTGGCTTCTCGTCTGCCGGCTCGGCGAGAACTCCGCCGGACCCGCAGATCAAGACGAGCTTGATCAGGTCACTAGCAAGACTTTCAGTACTTTCAGTATCAGCGTGGGAAGGAGGCAAATGCTTCCTGTTTGCTATCTCCTTCGTTAAAATTCTTTTCTCCTGAGAACCACTGTGTTGATGTTGACTCTGCACTGTCTGTGGGAGCCACAGGCCCAGAGATCTGAGGCACAGAAAAAGAGCCAGGAATCTGAATCCCATCATCCTCATCATCACAGAACATCTCAGCCACAGCACATTACAAGACGATTGCAGCAAGACTCCACTATGCATTTTTGTTTCTTTGTTTGGAAAGTAAAAGTTAGATATAACCATATTCTGATTTCAACACAGTTTGATCCAATTTTTATGTTTTACAAGCTTGGGGACCCAGCGGTGCCCGGGTTATTTGAGAAAGGCATTGTGTGCCAAGGTTGTTCTTTATCAGTTATTTTTGTGGCTCACAGTGGTATCAGGAAGTTAGTGAAGGTACTGCAAGTCCCATCATCCATGGTCCAACCCCCTCCAAATCGCACCAGGATGTAGAGTGGGTCATGGGTTCTCTGTGTGCCAAGTTTGGTCTTCATCAGTCATTGAATGTGGGTCGCAGTGGTCTCCGGAAGTGAGTGGAGGTCCCATCATCCATGGTCCACCCTCCTCCAAACTGCAGTAGGATGTAGAGTGGGTCATGGGGATTCTGTGTGCCAAGTTTGGTCTTTATCAGCCTTTGTTGGGGGGCTGCAGTGGTTTGTGGGATCCGCAGGGTTTGAAAGTACTACAAATCCCATCATCCATTGTCTGTCCTCCCCCAAACCTCACCAGGATGTAAAGGTGGTCATGGGGGTTATGAGTGCCAAATTTGGTCTTGATCAGTCATTGGGTAAGGGTCGCAGCGGTCTCGGGAAGTGAGTGGAGATACTTCAAGTCCCATCATCCATGGTCCTCCCTCCTCCAAACTGCAGTAGGATGTAGAGTGGGTCATGGGGGCTCTGTGTGCCAAGTTTCATCTTCATTGGGCTTTGTTGGGGGCTATAGTGGTCCCTGGGAACCAAAGTGTTTGAAAGTACTACAAATCCCATAATCTGTGGTCCAACTCCCCCAAACCACACCAGGATGTAAAATGTGTCATGGGGGTTATGTGTGCCAAGTTTAGTCCAGTTTCACCATTCGTAGCAGTCACAGTGGCTTGTGAAAGTGGCAGCCAATCAGAAAGCTGCCACATACACTGCCCTCCCTCCCTCCGCATACAAACACTGACTTTTATTATATACAAAGATAGATAGATTGGGACTTTATCTCTTTTCCATTAACTCAGGAATGTCAAGCCAGTGAACTGTTTGATTGCCCTTTTCCGCTTTGCAACCCGGATTTCCATCTCGTTTTCTTTCCTTTCTTCTCCAGGCCATTCTGAGCATGTTGCAGGACATGAACTTCATCAGCAGCTACAAAATCGACCGCCAAACCCTTGTCCGGTAGGTGCTTCTTCCTTACTCAAAGGTGTGAATAGATTGGGTTCACTGCTCTGAAATCTTGGGAGCTGTAGTTTCACACAGTTTTCTGCTGTCTTGCCAAACTACAAAATAACAACGCTTTATTTATATTCCGCCCTCTCTCCCCAAGGGGACTCAATGTCGTTTGGACAGACAAGGGCAGAAACAGATAGAAGGAAGGTATGTTGTGTCAGCGTCCAGCTTTTCTGCTCCTTGAAGGTTGTGCTCAAATCCAGAGGAAGCTGCTGCCATCCTCTATGACAGCGGTTCTCAACCTGGGGGTTGCAACCCCCAGGGGGGTCGTTGGGCCATTTTCTGGGGGTCGTGACGGCAGCTCCGTTTGCCCTGCCCCCTCTTCAAAATGGCTGCCGGCTGAACAGTATATGTTCCAATTTTGGTCCAATTTACCATATCAATTAGGGCTGGACGGTTTTGTGCATTAATTTCGTAATTCGTTAATAATTCGTATTTAAAGTGGCTTACGATCCGATATTGAACCATTCAGGAGCAACTAAAAATCGAAACAAATTTTTAAAATTTATTTCGTAATTGTTTCGTAATTGTTTCGAAATTGTTTCGTTATTATTTCCGTATGTCTGGTGCAAGTTTTATAGTTGTTGTTTGTTTTATCAGTGATAAAAAATAAATTATCACACCAACAGTCAACAACAGAGGGAGAGGGAAGCTTCAGAAGTTCCCCCTGTCCCATTTGGAGGGTTTTTAGCATATTGCGCAATCGCGTCCGCCATTAACGAATCGATTCGTTATTGTTTCGAAATTGTTTCGTAATTTCCGAAATTTCGTAAATATCGAACTTTTTTAAAGAAAAATTTCGGAATTCTTTTAAAAAACGAAATGCAAAAACCCCCTAAAAACGAATCGAGTTTAGAAACAAATTTTTCCGTGGTTGCCCAGCCCTAATATCAATTATAAGCCGAGATCCTCCCTCGGCTTATATTCGGGTCAACCCGGCAGCGGAGCTGGAGGTGAGGCTCCGAAGCCAGCTGGCGATGGAGGGGAAGGACAAGTGGTGGAGGTGGCACAGGGGCCCCCAGGTGAGGGGACCCTGTGCTGCCTCCGCTGCTTGTCCTCCCCCTCCAACAACAACAACTTTGTTTTTGCAGGAGGGACACGCTGCAGCACATTTTGTTCTAGTTTTTCAATGAATATCTCAACATCGAGTCTCAACCAATTCAATTCAATTTATTTATTTATTTACTTTGCTTATATACCGCTGTTCTCAGCCCGGAGGTGTACAACATAGAAAAGACAAGGATCACAATTCAAGACACAATCTAAAATATCAGTGTAGCAATAACCAAAGGCATCATCATCAAAACATCAACAATATCAATAATACAAAAAGCCATTCTCGACATCTCATCGTTTAAACCACAATCCAGTGTCATTTTCCGTTGTTCCATTCCTGTCGTCATTATCAATTATTGCACTTCTTGTTCGAACGCCTTCTTGAACAGCCAAGTCTTTAATTTCCTGCGGAATATCATCAGGGAGGGAGCTAGTCTGATGTCCATGGGAAGGGTGTTCCACAGCCGAGGAGCCACCACCGAGAAGGCCCTATCTCTCGTCCCCGCCAGCCGTGCCTGTGAAGCAGGCGGGATCGAGAGCAGGGCCTCCCCGGACGATCTCAAAGTCCTTGTGGGCTCATAGGCCGAGATGCGGTCAGATAGGTATCTTGGGCCGGAACCGTTTAGGGCTTTATAGGCCAACACCAGCACCTTGAATTGAGCCCGGTAGCAAATCGGCAGCCAGTGGAGCTGGTACAACAAGGGCGTTGTATGCTCCCTGCGTCCCGCTCCTGTTAGTAACATGGCTGCCGCGCGTTGGACCAATTGAAGCTTCCGGGCCGTCTTCAAGGGCAACCCCACGTATTAAAAACAAGGTTTACAGAGGATAACAACTACTTTCAAATTCAAGGACCACACAATTAAACAGGAAATAACACTTTCAAACCAGGCACAGAATTTTTTCAAACTTTGTCACATCGTGTAATAATAATAATAATAATAATAATATTTATTTATTTATTTATTTATACCTTGCTTTATTTTTTGCTTTATACTTTGCTCCTTAAATCATGATCTCCAACCACTGATCCCTCTCTAAGTATAGTGAAATGACCATTTTTTACCGAATCCTGTCTTTTCTCTCCAGGTTCTGCCTGATGGTGAAGAAGGGCTACCGAGACCCTCCGTACCACAACTGGATGCACGCCTTCTCCGTCTCCCACTTCTGCTACTTGCTCTACAAAAACCTGGAGCTGGTCAACTACTTGGAGTAGGTGGAGGCCCGCTTGACTGTAGGGTTACTCTGCATGCGTGCCCCCCTTTCCCCTAAAAGAGGAACCCACTCCCAATAAATGTCATGCACAGAATTGGAGGGCGGGGAAAGAGATCCCTTCCTGCTTTGCCATGAGATTGTGGGCATCGGGAACCAGCACATCGACCTGGGCATTTCCTTCTTTTGGGATGAGCTTCCAAGCTCTGAATCTCGAAGGTGTGGGCATCGGAAAAGGGGCTGTATAGATTAAAAACAATCCTAGCCAAAAAAAATACATGAAGATTAGGTAGGGTTTCTTCCAGGGAATATAGCAAAATCAATGATTTTTAATATACTAGAGGTGGCTGAACAAGACCCCAGCAGAGAAGATGTTACAGTGTTCCCTCACTTATCGCGGGTGTTATGTTCCAGGACCACCTGCAAAAAGTGAAAATCCGTGAAGTAGGGACGCTATAGATTTATATTGAGTCCCAAGGGTGAGGCAGAAGCGAGGAGAGATTTAAAAGAACCACACACCTTTTTTTGGCTAGCTATCTCTGCTTTGCTTTGCAATCCCCCTTGATTGGCTGCCTCTTTCCTGAGGGGGAGGGTGAAACCCCCTTCCATACTCCTTCATTGCCAGGAGGTGGGCAACGGCAACCATTCATAAACTGAGAGGTGAAAACCCGCAAAACAACAAGTCCGCAAAAAGCGAGGGAACACTGTATTCTTTTTAGATACTGAGAAAGCTTTTGATAACATTCATTGAGAATTCGTTAAAAAGTATTGATTTACAACAATCAAAAAGGATGGTTGCCGCTATCTATTCAAAACAAAAAGGTAGATTAAGGATAAATGGCCAAATGTCAAATTACATATCAATACAAAAAGGAACAAGACAAGGTTGTCCACTGTCACCTCTGTTGTTCATATACAAGTATTAACTATTAGGATTAGGGAAGATGTACCATAGAAGATGCAACAAGGAGTATTTAAAACCATTGATAGATGTGGATCTGTGGCAGGATTCAAAATAAATAAAGAGAAAATAAAAGTAGAATACAGTGGGCAGTGGCAACCATTCATAAACTGAGAGGCAAAAACCCGCTAAAAAGCGAGTCCACAAAAAACAAACCACGAAGTTGTGAGGGAACACTGTATTCTTTTTAGATGCTGAGAAAGCTTTTGATAACATTCTTTGGGAATTCGTTAAAAAAGTATTGATTTACTATGAGGTGGGTCAACAATATAAAAGGATGGTTGCCACTATCTATTCAAAACAAAAAGCTAAATTAAGGATAAATTGTCAAATGTCAAATGACATATCAATATAAAAAGGAACAAGACAAGGTTGTTCACTGCCACCTCTATTGTTCATATGGAAGTATTAAATATTAAGATTAGGGAAGACAGTGATTTTAAAGGGGTGAAAATAAAAGAACAAGAATTTAAAGTTAAGGCTTATGCCGATGACATGGTGTGTACCATAGAAGATGCAACAAGGAGTATTTAAAATAATTGATAGATATGGATCTGTAGCAGGATTCAAAATAAATAAAGATAAAAAGAAAAGTAGACTAGAATGCCGCTCTGGGCAACGGCAACCATTCATAAACTGAGAGGCAAAAGCCCGCTAAAAAGAGAGTCCGCAAAAAGCGAACCGTGAAGTAGCGAGGGAACACTGTACTCTTTTTAGATGCTGAGAAAACTTTTGATCACATTCATTGGGGTTTGTTTAAAAAGTATTGATTTACTATGGGGTGGGTCAGCAATTTAAAAGGATGGTTGCTGCTATATATTCAAAACAAAAAGTTAAATTAAGGATAATTGGTCAAATGTCAAATTACATATCAATGCAAAAAGGAACAAGACAAGGTTGTTCACTGCCACCTCTATTGTTCATATGAAAGTACTAAATATTAGGATTAGGGAAGACAGTGATTTTAAAGGGGTGAAAATAAAAGAACAAGAATTTGAAGTTAAGACTTATGCCGATAACATGATGTGTGTACCAAAGAAGACACAACAAGGAGTATTTAAAACCACTGATAGATGTGGATCTGTGGCAGGATTCAAAATAAATAAAGAGAAAAAGAAAATTAGATTAGAATTCTGCTCTGGGCAGTGGCAACCATTCATAAACTGAGAGACAAAAGCCCACTAAAAAGCGAGTCCGCAAAAAGTAAACTGCGAAGTAGCGAGGGAACACTGTATTCTTTTTAGATACTGAGAAAGCTTTTGATAACATTCATTGGGAATTTGTTAAAAAGTATTGATTTACTATGGGGAAAGAGAAAAAGAAAAGTAAAAAAATTAAAATATTTAGGATTATGGGTTACTAGTAAAAATAGCAATGTATATCAAAATAATTATGAAAAAGCATGGAAAGAGGTTAAAAAAAAAGACCTGGAAAGGTGGCAAAGAATCCAGCTAACTTGGATGAGGAGAACAGCAATAATAAAACGATGGTCTGCAAGTAATTAAGGGATGAAGGTCTTTGAACCATGGAAGAGGGATTTAGTCCAATTCATATGGAATGGGAAGAAAGCTAAAATTGCATACTTAATTTATGCTAAAGACAAAAGGGGCTTAGTGCTCCCAGATCTTAGGTATTACTATGAAGTGGCAGACTTTAGCTGGAGAAAGAAATGGATTAGAATAGGAAATTGCACATTACTTAACTTAGAAGGGAACAATTTAAGATTTCGATGGTATGCATACTTATGGTATGAGAAAGAAAGGATCAATTGACATGTTATAGGAAAGGGGGCTGTATGATGCCATCCTTGAATCCCCCTTTTTACCCCACCACCCACCCTGGGCTGGCAAGCACCTCCCTCCATTGGCATATCCCACTCCTGCGGGTCTTGTTGTATTTCTTTGCGAGGAGCACCACCACCTCCATGGTTCACTACCCACGGCGGCTGGCGTCGCCCACAACGGCAGAGCTGTGAATCCTCTCAGGGCTTCAGTCCAAAACATCAGTAGGCATGGGCAAAGTTCAGACTTCCCTCCAGGTGGTTGTGTGAGTTGAAGTCCAGAACACCTGGGGGAGGGCCAAAGTTTGCCCATGCCTGGTCTAAGGGCTTTCTGGGGTTTGTTATTGGCATTAGAATCAATAATTCAATGCTGCCTCCACATATAAGTCAATCCCATTCAGTCAATGCATCGGAACCCTCGGTGGTACAGTGGGTTAAACCCTTGTGCTGGCAGGACTGATGACTGACAGGTTTCAGATTCAAATCTGGGGAGAGCGTGGATGAGCTCCCTCTTTCAACTCCAGCTCCTCGTGCCCAGAAGCAACACACAGTTCTCTCTGTTCTGAGAGTCTAATCTTGTCTCTGTCTACACTGAAAGTCTAATAGCTTCTGTACATCATTCTGTTCCTACTGACTTCTAAAAGCATACATTCTAAAATAGAGTCTGAGTCCTGAACAAGCCCAGTTCTGATCACATGGTCTGCAGCCCATCTCACAACAGAGTTAAGGAAAACTCCATACCAATACACACATGCAATACAGGAAGTAATCTGAATTATATGCTAGTGGAGGCTTGAAGAAGGTCGCTGTTTCCAGCAAGAGCTCCAGTAAGATTAGATCCACATCCAAAGTGGGTGAGCTATCAAAGCCAGGTTGGTGATCAGCCTTGGATCGCTCCTTCCAAGTTTGGACTAAAACCCAGAGCGGATTCACCAGCCATCACCAACGCCAGCTGCTTGGGGCATTCCAAGCTCTCGGACCGCCCTGCAGTTCATACATGGTTCACGTGTGCATGGGTGTTGTTGTTGTTGTTGTTTTCTCTCGACAGAGACATCGAAATATTTGCCTTGTTCATCTCCTGCATGTGCCATGACCTGGACCACCGGGGCACCAATAACTCCTTCCAGGTCGCTTCGGTACGGTTTGAAGAAACCCGTCCTCAGCAAAGCAAAGGGGAGCGGGGAGGGGAGTGGGATGGCCCTCCATTCAAGATCTGGAACACATTAAGTTTCCTCGTTAACCTCGTTGCACTATTGGACTTCCCATCCCAGCATCCCCCCCAGCCAGCCTGTTTTTAATGGACGATACCATCAAATACACCTGGAAGGTGACGCTCTTCCCATTTTGCAGTCTTTCCAAAACATTTGGAGTTGAGGCCCAAGCAGTCACCCTAACCAGGCTGGCCAATCATGAGAATGATGGGAGATGACGTCAAAAGCACATGGAAGGATACACTATTCCCATTTTGCAGTCCTTCCAGATACTGTTGGACTGCAAGTCCCAGCAGCCCCCTTGCCAAGGATGAGAATGATGGGAGATGCCATCAAAAACACCTGGAAGGCAACACTCTTCTCATTTTGCAGCCTTTCCAAGACATTTGGAGTTCAGCCCCAAGCAGTCACCCTAGCCAAGCTAGACAATCATGAGAATGATGGGAGATGCCATCAAAAACACCTGGAAGGTGACACTCTTCTCATTTTGCATCCTTTCCAAGACATTTGGAGTTCAGCCCCAAGCAGTCACCCTAGCCAAACTAGACAATCATGAAAATGATGGGAGATGCCATCAAAAACACCTGGAAGGCGACACTCTTCCCATTTTGCAGCTCTTCCAAAACATTTGGAGTTCAGGGCCAAGCAGTCACCCTAGCCAGGCTGGCCAATCATAAGAATGATGGGAGATGCTATCAAAAACACCTGGAAGGTGATGCTCTTCCCATTTTGCAACCCTTACAAAACATCTGGAGTTCAGGGCCAAGCAGTCACCCTAGCCAGGCTGGCCAATCATAAGAATGATGGGAGATGCTATCAAAAACACCTGGAAGGCGACGCTCTTCCCATTTTGCAGCCCTTACAAAACATTTGGAGTTGAAACCCAAGCAGTCATCTTAACCAGGCTAGCCAATCATGTGAATGATGGGAGATACCATCAAAAGCACCTGGAAGGTGGTTCTCTTCCCATTTTGCAGTCCTTCCAAAACATCTGGAGTTCAGGTCCAAGCAGCCACCCTAGCCAAGCTAGCCAATCATGAGAACGATGGGAGATGCCATCAAAAGCACATGGAAGGCAAGGCTCTTCCCATTTTACAGTCCTTCCAAAACATTTGGAGTTGAGGCTCAAGCAGTCACCCTAGCCAGGCTAGTCAATAATGAGAATGATGGGAGATGCCATCAAAAGTACCTGCTATAGCTAAGGAAGAATTGTCTTCACACATGCAAACAGTTGGGAGATATCACATCTATTATTTTGAACCCTCAACATGCATGAGGTCGACTGAGGTTGTGTCCATATAGGAGAAGGAATGCAGTTTGGCACCACTTTAGCTGGCATGGGTCAATGCTAGGGAGTCCTCCGGGATGTCATTTGGTGAGGCACCAATACTGTTGAGCAGAGAAGGTGAAAGACCTTCCAAAACTACAATTTTTAGGATTGTGCAGCATGGAGCCATGGCACAGAAAGGGGAGTCCAGCTGTGTTTATTCCACAATTTAGATCAGGCACGGGCAATCTTCGGCCCTCCCTCCAGGTGTTTTGGACTTCAGCTCCCACAATTCCTACCAGGCTACTGGTCTTTGCCTTCTCTTTCATAGAATGCTAGGGCCTAACCCAGTGGTTCTCAACCTGTGGGTCCCCAGATGTTTTGGCCTACAATTCCCAGAAATCCCAGCCAGTTTACCAGCTGTTAGGATTTCTGTGAGTTGAAGGCCAAAACATCGGGGGACCCACAGGTTGAGAACCACTGGCCTAACCAAACTGCATAGAATCATAGAATCATTGAGTTGGAAGGGACCTCATGGGCCATCCAGTCCAACCCCATTCTGCCAAGAAGCAGGACAATTGTTCAAACCGCCCCCAACAGATGGCCATGTAGCCTCTGTTTAAAAGCCTCCCTAGAAGGACTCTCCACCAAACTTTGCAGTAGAGAGTTCCACTTCTGAACTGCATTCTCTCAGAGTCAGGAATATCTTCCTAAAGTTCAGGTGGAATTGAAGCCATGGCTCCAATACGTCCTAGTCTCCAGGGCAGCAGAAAACAAGCTTGCTCCCTCCTCCCTGTGACTTCCCCTCACATATTTGTACATGGCCCTGATCATGTCTCCCCTCAGGCCTCTCTTCTGCAAGCTAAACATGGCCAGCTCTTTAAGCCGCTCCTCATAGGACTTGTTCTCCAGACCCTTGATCATTTTAGTCACCCTCCTCTGGACACATTCCATCTTAGAGTCAATATCTCCCTTCAATTGTGGTGCCCAGAATTGGACACAATATTCCAGGTGTGGTCTAACCAAGACGGAATAGAGCATGGGGAGCAGGACTTCCCTGGATGTACAAACTATGCTCCTATTGATGCAGGCCAAAATCTCATTGGCTTTTAAAGCATCACATTGTTGGCTCATGTTTAACTTGTTGTCCACAAGGACCACAAGGACATTTCCCAGGCTTCTATACTATGGAGCTGTAGCAGCAAACTTGGGACCAAAACTGCTTCAGTCCTGCAGGGTAGATAAACCCCAAGAACATCCCAAGAAAACTCCTTTGTAGAGAGAAAAAGCAGGGTATAATAAACATCATCATCATCATTATTATTATTATTATTATTATTATTATTATTATTGCTACTACTACTACTAGGGAGCCCCCAGTGGCACAGTGGGTTAAAGCGCTGAGCTTGCTGACCGAAAGGTCACACGTTTGATTCTGGGTAGCGGTGTGAACTTCTGCTGTCAGCCCTAGCTTCTGCCAACCTAGCAGTTTGAAAACATGCAAATTTGAGTAGATCACTAGGTACTGCTGCGGTGGGAAGGTAATGGCGCTCCATGCAGTCATGCCAGCCACATGACCTTGGAGGTGTCTATGGACAACGCCGGCTCTTCAGCTTAGAAATGGAGATGAGCACCACACCCCAGAATCAGACATGACTGGACTTAATGCCAGGGGACAACCTTTACCTTTTTTTTTTACTACTACTACTACTACTACTACTATATTCATGATATCCCTATTGCCACTGTTGTCAGTGCATCATGGAGCTGATGGTTGCACAGCTAGCACCAAAGGCATGGAGGAGAGAGGAGGTCAATGGCTTGCCTTCCCTCAATCTAGACACTAGACCCCTCTTGATGCATTTGTCTTTGTTGATGCTGCATCACACTGTTGGCTTGTGTTCAGCTTGGGGTCTACAAAGACTCCTAAACCTCTTTCACGTGGGCTGTTTGCAAGCACAGGTCTCACCCAGCTTGTTCGATCACCCTTCCCCCCACCAACCGCACACGAGGGTCCCCTTTCCTGTGGGCATCCCATGCCATCCAGTCTTTGCCCATCCATGCCACTGCCTGTGTTTGCTTGGAACGTGGTGACCTTTCTCATGGGATGCTTCTTCACTCTCTCTTCCAGAAATCAGTCCTGGCTGCCTTGTACAGCTCCGAAGGCTCCGTTATGGAGGTAAGAACTAAAGCAAAAAAGGAAGGGATGGGACCCAGGATGGTTATCGGTTTTATTTATTTATAGATCGTGTCAGAAGCAAATTGAGTTATTATGTATAAAAACCACAAACAAAGTGAAGGAACTTGACGTTCTACCAAATGTCCTTTGACCAGAAGCTGCATTGTAGTAGGTGGCCTATGGTTTGCTCTCCTCCGCACTCGCATGTTGTGGACTCATTTCTTAATATTAATAACTTCTGTGATATTTGCTAATGATAACTGCTTAACAAGTGTACTTAACAACAACTGCATAATGTAAGACTATAGGATCTATGTAGCAATATTAAATAACCACTCACAAACCGTTTTTGCTTTGGAATGGATATATTGCTTGTATCTCTACAGCAAAGAAAGACACTACTGACTTTTCCCCACCACCACTTCCTTTTATACACCTTTCCTGCCATCCCCCCCTCTCTTCACAGTTTCCTTATTAGAACTTGTTGCTTCACAAGTTCCAGTACAAGGTTTCCAGCACCCTCTCCTGGTTTCAGAATGTCACAGAGAGAGAATTGATTCAGTCAGGATGTCACAGAGGGAATTTGTAATGTCTTCATGCCGTGAGAAATTGACTCCTGACACTAAGATCAACAGAGATACTTTCTGGCACACCTCAGCAAGCGAGAGCCCAAAAGTGGCAGGCTAAAACCCAGAACCACAATAAGTGGCTGGTACCAAATGAGAGACTCCCTCCTGGGCACACAGAAAACTGGACAACTTGGAAGGCACCCAGCCAGCTGTGCCACAGTCCTGGTGAAAAGCACACGTCTGCATTTTAGATGGATTCGGAATCAGCTGGTTTTCCCTGCAATAGGCAGTAAGAGCACCTAAAGCTTCAGACAGCTTCTGTTCAACCCTTTCAAAGCTGTGAATAAGATAAAGGCTATATAAAAGACTAAGGTACAAACAAAAGAAATGAATAATATAGTATAGGGAAGGGTGAACATTCTGTGGTGTTTCTTTTGCTGACTGTCCCCCTGTTCAGAAGATTCCACCTCTCTTTCTGTCCCTGTGAGAATCGGATTTTGTGGCTTGTTGTAGAAACAAGGACTGGAGAGAAAGCTTCAGTGGAGACCCCTTTTCCCCATGGTAATAATTCTTCCAGGAGTGGATTGAACTTCCGAGGAATAGATTTCTCTCACTTCTTATTGTCTCAGCCCCGTTCTTAACTGTGAGTCATTTGTAAGTCAGATGTTTGTAACTTGGGGACTGCCTATCTAATCGACCTTGTTGCACAGGTTCGGTATGCCTGCGTTGCTATCCTTCGCTAATACAATGTGCCACAATCTGGAGTCGTTGGAAACCCCAGATCCCGCTCACCAACAATAACCTTTTGTTTCTGTTTTTATGCAGAGACACCATTTCGCTCAAGCGATCGCCATCTTGAACACCCACGGATGTAATATCTTTGATCATTTCTCCCGGAAGGTGAGTCTTGGAGAGACCATGTCAGTTTTCTTGAGCAGGTTGGGGAGAAACATTGGTTTGGGACCCATTATTTATTTATGTATTTATTTACAGTATTTATATTCCGCCCTTATCACCCCGCAGAGGACTCAGGGTGGATTACAATGTACATATACATGGCAAACATTCAATGCCATAGACACACAACATATATAGACAGACACACAGAGGCTATTTAACATTCCAGCTTTCATGAGGGTATTCTGACCACCAGGGGAGCTGTTGCTTCACCATCCATTTGTGACAATGATGGAGTACTCCTCCTCATTCTTTTTGCATGATTGCTGGAGATTTTTATGGAATTGTAAATTAGTTAAATTAGCTTCCCCACATAAGTGGTACCTAAATTTCCTACTTGACAGATGCAACTGCCTGTCGGGCTGCAAAAGTCAACAGCAAGCTACACAATGGCCGGAAGCTCACACATATACACACATAAAACAGTTATACACAGACTGAGCCACAGCAATACGTGGCAGGGGATGGCTAGTATATATAGAATCATAGAATCAAAGAGTTGGAAGAGACCTCATGGGCCATCCAGTCCAACCCCTGACAGATGGCCATCCAGCCTCTGTTTAAAAGCTTCCAAAGAAGGAGCCTCCATGTATGGATGATTGTATGTTTGTTTGTTTGTGTGTGTGTGTGTATGCAGCTGGTCAGGCTCAGTAAAACAGATCGGCAAATGGCTGAATCATATATTCTTATTTTACTCCAGCAATGTCTGCACCATATGGTAACACGGTGTCTCCTTGGTCCCATAGGATTACCAAAGGATGCTGGACCTCATGAGAGACATTATTCTGGCCACGGACCTGGCCCACCATTTGAGGATCTTCAAAGATCTCCAGAAGATGGCTGAAGGTAAGACGACAGGGAAGGACATTAAGGGAGAGAGTGCAACCATTGAGTAACACAGAAAAGTAGTACAAGTTGGGTATCCCTTATCCCAAACACTTGGGAGCTAAAGAGTTCAATGGTTTCTATTTTGGAATACTTGCATATCCATCATGCAATACTTTGGAGATGGGACCCATGTCTGAACATCTGAACATGACATCCATGTATACATCATAGACACCTTATACACATAGTCTGAATCCCCTTGGGGAGATAGGGAGGAATACAATTATTATTATTATTATTATTATTATTATTATTATTATTATTATTAGAATTATTATTCTGACACAAAACCACAGTATGTCACAGCAAACGAGATCTCTCTGCTGGATTTCGTAATATTTTTCTTAATGTGACTGTCACCTGGAATGGCGACATTCTTTGTCTGCTGTGCTTATTATTATTATTATTATTATTATTATTATTATTATTATTATTTGAAACAACAAGATGAGATGGGATTAACACAACTCAAAAACCACTGGACGAATTGACACGAAATTTAGTTCTATTCATTGTAGGTCAAAAACACAAAGCAAAAACCGAAGAATTGTTCTCACCAATATACAACAAACAATATCACTGGTGAGTCTTCTTCTGTACATGATGACATGGAAACACATCACAAAATAATGCAGCCTCTCTACTTAGTTATCAAGCAGTTTCCTTGCCACTCCAAAGAGCCTCAGTCTTCAGCTTCAGGATGCTGCATAACCGCTCCCAGCAATGGTTTTTTCAGCTCAAATGAGTCATCAAGCTAAACCAAATGCAAATCTCAAAGCTTGCAAGCCTAGTGCCTTGTTATATGCTGAAGCAGATAACGCACCCAATTAACTTGTGGCAGCTGTAACAGAAAAGGCTCTGATCCTCCCTGTTACTTAGAAAAAGCCTGTTGTAATCCCCTAGTAGCAACAAAATTGCATTCAAATTAATCTTAAAGGTCTCCTCATTTCTAGTCTTAAGTGGGGACACACGCTAGGGATGAAGGCCTTGCATGTCAACATTTTGACTTCCTTCAATTTGGACTAGACATGGGAAAACTTCGCCCCCTGAAGATTTTTTTGGACTTAGAATCATAGAATAATAGACCCCAGAGGCCATCTAGTCCAAGCCCCTGCCATGTTGGAAAAGCACAAGCAAATCCCCCCTGACAGATGGCCATCCATCCTCTGATTAAAAGCCTCCAGGGAAGGAGCTTCCACCAGACCCCAAGCAGAGAGTTCCACTGCTGAACAGCCCTTCTTATGGTCAGGAAGTTCTTCCTAATGTTCTGGTGGAATCTCCTCTCCTGTCATTTGAACCCATGGCTCCATTGAGTCCTAGTCTCCAGGGCAGCAGAAATGAAGCCTCTTCCTTAGGACACCCTTTGACATATTGAGACATGGATCTTCTCATGTCTCCTCTCAACCTTCTCTTCTGAAGGTTCTTTAAGATGGGCTACATGGCCATGGTCTAGAGGCATTCTCTCCTGACGACTCCCTCTTCATAGGGATTCTTGGTCTCCAAGACTTTGATCTTTTTAGATGCCCTCTTCCTCTGGACTCCTTCCAGCTTAGAGTCCATATTTCTCTTTAATTGTGGTGCCCAGAATTGGACGCCGTGTGATTCCAAGTGAAGAGGGCTGACCAAAGAGGGCTGACCAAAGCTTTTAATCAGAGGATGGATGGCCATGAGGATTGCAGCAGTCTCTGGAAGTGAGTGGGGATACTTCAAGTCCCATCATCCATGGTCCGCCATCATCCAAACTGTAATAGGACGTAGAGTGGGTGATGGGGGCTCTGTGTGCCAAGTTTGGTCTTTATCAGTCTTTGTTGGGGACCACAGTGGTCTGTGGGAACCGAAGGGTTTGAAAGTACTACAAATCCCATCATCCATTGCCCATCATCCCCCAAACCTTACCAGGACATAAAGGGCGTCATGGGGGTTATGCTTGCCAAGTTTGGTCTTGATCAGTCAATGGATGAGGATCACAGTGGTCTCTGGAAGTGAGTGGAGGTTCTTCAAGTCCCATCATCCATGGTCCACCATCATCCAAATTGCAGTAGGACATAGAGTGGGTGATGGGGGGCTCTGTGTGCCAAGTTTGGTCTTTATAGGTCTTTGTTGGGGACCATAGTGGTCTGTTGGAACCAAAGGGTTTGAAAGTACTACAAATCCCATCATCCGTTGTTCGTCCTCCCCCTAGACTTTTAGGGTTGCAGCATGGGAACACATTTGCTTTCTTATCTTCACACTGTTGAGCTCTCCACTTTCTGTTTCCTGTCCAGTCGGCTATGATCCCAAGAACAAGCAGCACCATAGCCTCCTGATTTGCCTTCTCATGACCTCCTGCGACCTCTCTGACCAGACCAAGGGCTGGAAAACCACCCGCAAGATTGCGGTGAGTAAAGAAACCATCCAGCAGCAGCAGCCTGGGCTGTATTCCAAGCCTAAAATTGTCCAGAAGGACAGAATGACAATGACAGGCCCAGTGGGAAAAGGGTGGGAGCTGAGGTCTTTCGGGGACCTTTCGGCCAGAGGGATGGAGTGGTTTGGCCATTGGTCTGTGACCCCAGAGACCAGGGTTCAATTTCCCAATCGGTCATCTTTGAGTAGCTTGTTCTATTGCCTTTCCGGACTACCTTTCTCCGAGAGTGGGGATCCAAAAAGTCTTCTGAAACCATTTATTGCACTATGTAACACAATTGTTGTTCCTGAGTTAAAAATATCATTCCCAAATTGGTTCTATCATAAAAACGTGGGAAACGTTTATCAAACTGCAAAAACATTGTTTCTGCATGAGAGACAGATAGCCATCCATCCTCTGTTTAGAGCACATTGTGCTCTAGTTTTACAATCACATCACATTCAACAATATTTGAAAAACAAAATCTGTTCCTGGTTTGAAAGTGTCATTTCCTGTTTAATTTTGTGGTACTTGCTTTGTGTGGTACAGCTTAATTGTGTGGTACAGCTTAATGGTGTCACATTAGAAAATGTGGACCATTTCTGCTACCTTGGCAGCCACCTCTCCACAAAAGTCAACATTGACACTGAAATACAACACCGCCTGAGTTTTGCGAGTGCAGCATTCTTCTGAATGAAACAGAGAGTGTTTGAGGGATTAGAATGCTGCTCTGGGCAATGGCAACTATTCACAAACTGGGAGGCAAAACCCCATGAAACAGCGACTCTGCAAAATGTGAATCACGAAGTACTGAGGGAACACTGTATTCTTTTTAGATGCTGAGAAGGCTTTTGATAACATTCATTGGGAATTCATTTAAAAAGTATTGATTTACTATGAGGTGGTAGCATTTCTGCTACCTTAGGAGCCACCTGTCCACAAACGTCAACATTGACACTGAAATACAACACTGCCTGAGCTCTGCAAGTGCAGCATTTTTCCGAATGAAGCACAGAGTGTTTGAGGACCAGGACATCTGTAGGGACACCAAGGTGCTTGTTTATAAAGCTATTGTCCTCTTAACCCTGCTGTGGCAGCCACCTCTCCACAAAAGTCAACATTGACACTGAAATACAACACCACCTGAGCTCTGCAAGTGCAGCATTTTTCCAAATGAAGCAGATAGTGTTTGAGGACTGGGACATCCATAGGGACACCAAGGTGCTTGTTTATAAAACTGTTGTCCTCCCAATCCTAATGTGGCAATCACTTTTCCACAAAAGTCAACATTGACCCTGAAATACAGCACCGCCTGAGCTCTGCAAGTACAGCACTTTTCCGAATGAAGCAGAGAGTGTTTGAGGACCGGGACATCCATAGGGAGACCAAGGGGACTTGTTTATAAAGCCATTGTCCTCCCATCCGTGCTATATGCCTGCGAAACGTGGACTGTCTACAGACGTCACATGCAATTCCTGGAACGATTCCATCAGCGCTGCCTCCAGAAAATCCTGCAAATCTCTTGGGAAGACAGGCGGACAAACGTCAGCGTGCTGGAAGAAGGAAAGACCACAAGCATTGAAGCAATGGTCCTCCGCCATCAACTTCGCTGGACCGGCCACGTTGTCCGGATGCCCGACCACCATCTCCCAAAGCAGTTGCTCTACTCCAAACTTAAAAATGGAAAATGGAATGTCGGTGGGCAGGAAAAGAGATTGAAAGATGGACTCAAAGCCAACCTTAAATACTCTGGCATAGACACTGAAAACTGGGAAGCCCTGGACCTTGAGCTCTCCAGCTGGAGGTCAGCTGTGACCAGCAGTGCTGCAGAATTTGAAGAGGCACAAATGAAGGGCAAAAGAGAGAAACGTGCCAAAAGGAAGGCGCATCAAGCCAACCCCAACCGGGACCACCTTCCACCTGGAAACCAATGCCCTCACTGCAGGAGAACATGCGGGTCAAGAATAGAGCTCCACAGTCACCTACGGACCCACCACAGGACACTACACTTGGAGGACCATCATCCTCACACTATGAGTAGTTGTGATTTTCCAGAAACTTTGTTTTTGTGGCTGCCACAAACTAGGTTGAATCGGTTGAGACTCAGTGAGATATGCATTGGAAAAAACGATAACAAAGACAGAATTTTTGCTTTTTAGTAAACTTTTCCCATGTTTTTATGGTAGAACCAATTAAAAAAAGACACTTATAACCCCAGGAAAAACATTCAAAAATCAAAAGAAGAAATTTCTGATATGTTCTTCCATGTGCTTTCCTTGTTCCAGGAGCTGATTTACAAGGAGTTCTTCTCCCAGGGAGACCTGGTAAGTACGAAGTCTCGGAAGCCAGTTGTTGGCAACTTTGGGGGGTTCAGAGGGTATATTTGGGGCTCTTCCCTATGGATTCCCACCCCAAATTGCAAATTGCTTGCCTCCAAATGCCTCCCAAAATATCCTGGAGGCACCGTGTGCCACGACTGATGCTCCCATCTAATGTCCTCTTTAGGAGAAAGCCATGGGCAACCGGCCGATGGAGATGATGGACCGGGAGAAGGCCTACATCCCGGAGCTGCAGATCAGCTTCATGGAGCACATTGCGATGCCCATCTACAAGTGAGCACTGACACGCTGGTTTATATATATTTTTTCCATGCTACTGTATTTCCTCGAGTCTAATGAGCCATCGAATCTATTGAGCACATCAGTTTTCAAAACCCTGAAACCAAAAATGGCATGCAGTGCAGCAAAAAGAGTGCTCATTGTAATTTGGCCCTAAATTTGGTCTGGGACGACTCTCTGGGATGGGTCTCGGGGGCACAGTTTTGTCGTGGCTCCGATCCTTCCTGGAGGGTCGATCCCAGATGGTGAAGCTGGGAGACGCCTGCTCGGACCCCTGCCTTTGACCTGTGGGGTCCCGCAAGGCTCCATTCTGTCTCTCATGCTTTTTAACATCTACATGAAACCACTGGGAGAGGTCATCCGGAGTTTTGGAGTTGGGTGCCATCTCTACGCAGATGACACACAACTCTACTACTCTTTTCCACCTAATTCCAAGGAAGCCCCTCGGGTGCTGGACGAGTGCCTGGCCGCTGTGTCTATCTGGATGAGGAGGAACAAGCTGAAGATCAATCCTGACAAGACAGAGGTCCTCCTGGTCGATTGTAAACCGGACCAGGGTATAGGGTGCTGGATGGGGTTACACTCCCCCTGAAGTCACAGGTCTGCAGTTTGGGTGTCCTCTTGGATTCTTCGCTCACACTTGAGGCTCAGGCGTCGGCGGTGTCCGGGAGGGCTTTTGCACAATTGAGACTCGTGCGCCAACTGCGACCGTACCTCGCGAAGGCTGATCTGGCCGGGGTGGTCCATGCCTTGGTCACCTCTAGGTTGGACTACTGTAATGCGCTCTACGTGGGGCTGCCCTTGAAAACGGCTCAGAAATTCCAACTGGTCCAACGGGCGGTGGCCAGATTGTTAACTGGTGCTCCTTTCAGAGAGAGGTCAACCCTCCTGTTTAAGGAGCTCCATTGGCTGCCGTTCATTTTCCGGTCCCAATTTAAGGTGCAGGTGCTTACCTACAAAGCCCTAAACGGTTTGGGACCTGCCTACCTGCGTGACTGCATCTCCGTATACGAACCCACACGATCTCTCCGATCATCTGGAAAGGCCCTGCTCACGATCCCACCTGCATCACAAGCATGTTTGGTGGGGACGAGGGACAGGGCCTTCTCCGTGATGGCCCCCCGACTCTGGAACTCTCTCCCCAAGGACATCAGACAAGCCCCAACATTGGCAGTCTTTAGGAAGAGCTTGAAGACGTGGCTGTTCCAGTGTGCCTTCCCAGAATAGGAAACTCCTAGCATCATGTCCCAAATGCACTTTACTAGAGATTTAAGATTGTCTGCAACCGCACCTATCTCCAAAAACCTATCCATTTCACCTGTCATGTCCAGCATTTTTAAAATTTTTAATCATTACATTTGGCCCGGCCTTAGTTTTAAATGCGTCATGGTGTTATTGTCTAATGTTTATTGCTATTGTTTTAATGTTTATTGCTTGTTTTATGAGTTGGGTGTCAATTGTGCAAAAGCCCTCCCGGACACTGCCGACGCCTAAGTCTCAAGTGTAAGTGATGAGTCCAGGAGGACACCCAAACTACGGACCTGTGGCTTCAGGGGGAGTGTAACCCCGTCCAGCTCAGGTTGCCACCCTATATCCCGATCCAGTTTACGATCGACCAGGAGGACCTCTGTCTTGTCGGGATTGATCTTCAGCTTGTTCTTCCTCATCCAGATAGACACAGTGGCCAGGCACTCATCCAGCACCCGAGGGGCTTCCTTGGAATTGGGTGGAAATGAGTAGTAGAGTTGTGTGTCATCTGCGTAGAGATGGCACCCAACTGTATTTGTTATGCTGTTGTTTTATTGATGTATTGGGCCTCGGCCTCTTGTAAGCCGCACTGAGTCCTTCGGGAGATGTTAGCGGGGTATAAATAAAGGTTTATTATTATTATTATTATTATTATTATTATTATTAAAAAAACCAAGATTATGGCAACAAGAATGATTGACAGCTGGAAAATAGAGGGAGAAAATGTGGAGGCCGTGACAGACTTTGTATTTCTAGGCGCAAAGATGAGTGCAGATGCAGACTGTGGCCAGGAAATCAGAAGACGCTTCCTTCTTGGGAGGAGAGCAATGTCCAGTCTCGATAAAATAGTAAAGAGTAGAGACATCAGACTGGCAACAAAGATCCATTGCCTAGTCAAAGCCATGGTATTCCCTGTAGTCACCTACGGATGTGAGAGCTGGACCTTAGGGAAGGCTGAGCGAAGGAAGAGAGAGGCTTTTGAGCTGTGGTGTTGGAGGAAAGTTCTGAGAGTGCCTTGGACTGCGAGAAGATCCAACCAGTCCATCCTCCAGGAAAGAAAGCCCAGCTGCTCACTGGAGGGAAGGAGACTAGAGGGAAAGTGGAAGTCCTTTGAATGCCACATCATGAGGAGACAGCAAAGCCTAGAGAAGACAATGATGCTGGGGAAAGTGGAAGGCAAAAGGAAGAGGGGCCGACCAAGGGCAAGATGGATGGATGGCATCCTTGAAGTGACTGGACTGACCTTGAAGGAGCTGGGGGAGGTGACGGCCGACAGGGAGCTCTGGCGTGGGCTGGTCCATGAGGTCACGAAGAGTTGGAGGCGACTGAACGAATGAACAACAGCAACAATTATTATTATTATTATTTTCCCCCAAGAGCGCCTCAAGAGCGCCCCTGGGCAAAATCAACTCTACTGCAGATGCTTACTTAGCGTAATGGGTTAGCCGCCCCTGTGTTTAGCAAATAGTATTATATTCTATGATTAAAAATGGGTTGCCATTTCTATCTAAAAGACCTTTGGCCTCTGCTTCCTCCCTGCAGGCTGCTCCAGGACCTCTTCCCCCGATCGGCCGAGCTGTACGAGCGGGTGGCCAGTAACCGGGAGCACTGGACCAAAGTCTCGCACAAGTTCACCATCCGGGGCCTGCCCAGCAACAACTCCCTGGACTTCCTGGATGAGGAATACGACCTGCAGACCATGGGAGAAGACAGCGAGGACAGCATCAGGATGAACGGCTGCCTGGAAGATGGGCACCTGGAGGAGGGGGAGGAGCTGGAATGATGCCCCGCCCCCCGGGAGGCAGAGCCAGGAGGAAGCCCCGCCTCCCCCACTTTGCAGGGACCGGACACACACAAGTGCAACTTTTTGTAACCAGGATGGGGGCTGATTTTTGGAAACAAACAAACAAACACGGTTCTTATTTATATTACAGGCCCCCCTCGCGGCAAGCGTTTTCTTCTCTCCAAGCCCCCCCAACACCTCCCCCACCCCATCTCCCATGATGCTCTCCCGCCTCTTCCCGGCTTCATCCATTGACCCACAGGACTCTGCCAGCTTGCGGTTGTTGACTGCACTGTTGCGTTGTTGAATTTGATGAATGCACAGCCTTCTCACAGTCCTCCTCTCCCCGGCTTCCCCCGCTTCCACTGCTTCCTTGGTTCAAACATTGCAACATTGATCATTGACATCTTGCTAGAGAGTCGTTTTTGGCTTCTGGTTTGCAGGTGGAAACTCAATCCAGGACTTCTGGTTTGCAGACAGAAATGAAATCTAGGTCTTCTGATCTGTCCGTGGGAACCAAATCCAGGGTTTCTGGTTTGCAGACAGAACCCAAGCCAATGATTCTGATTTGCAAACAGAAATCAAATCCAGGGCTTCTGGTTTGCAGATAGAAACCAATTCAGGACTTCTAGTTTGAAGGTAGCAACCAAATCCAGGTTTTCTGGTTTGCAGACAGAACCCAAGCCAATGATTCTGATTTGCAAACAGAAATCAATCCATAGTTTCTGGTCTGCAGATAGAAATTAAATCCAGGGCTTCTGGTTCACAGATAGAACCCAATCCAATGATTCTGATTTGCAGATAGAAACCAAATCCAGGGTTTCTGGTTTGTAGACAGAAATCAAATCCAGGGCTTCTGATTTGCAAATAAAAAACCAAATCCAGGGTTTCTGGTTTGCAGACAGAACCCAAGCCAGTGATTCTGATTTGCAAACAGAAATCAAATCCACTGTTTCTGGTTTGCAGATAGAAAACCAAAACCAGGGCATCTGGTTTGCAGATAGAACCCAATCCAATGATTCTGATTCGCAGACAGAAACCAAATCCAGGGCTTCCAGTTTGCAAATAGAAAACCAAATCCAAGATATCTGGTTTGCAGATAGAAATTAAATCCAGGGCTCCTGGTTTGCAGATAGAAAACCAAAACCAGGGCATCTGGTTTGCAGATAGAAATTAAATCCAGGGTTTCTTGTTTGCAGACAGAACCCATGCTAATGATTCTAATTTGCAAACAGAAATCAAATCCATTGTTTCTGGTTTGCAGATAGAAATTAAATCCAGGGCTTCTGGTTCACAGATAGAACCCAATCCAATTATTCTGATTTGCAGATAGAGACCAATTCAGGGCTTCTAGTTCGAAGGTAGAAACCAAATCCAGGGCTTCTGGTTTGCAGATACAAAACTAAAACCAAGGCATCTGGTTTGCAGATAGAAATTAAACCCAGGGCATCTGGTTTGCAGATAGAAACCAATTCAGGACTTCTAGTTTGAAAGTAGAAACCAAACCCAGGGTTTCTGGTTTGCAGATAAAAACCAAAACCAAGGCATCTGGTATGCAAATAAAATCCAATCTAATGATTCTGGTTTGCAGATAGAAACTAATCTAGGGCTTCTAGTTTGGAGGTAGAAACCAAATCCAGGACTCCTGGTTTGCAGCTAAAATCAAATCCAGGGCTTCTGGTTTGCAAGGTTGAAACTAAACCCAGTGCTCCTGGTTTGCAGATAGAAACCAAATAAAATGCCTCTGGTTTCCAGATAGAAGCCAAGTCCAGGACTTCAGGTTTGCAGGTCAGAACCTATCCAGGTACTTTGCAGATAGAAACCAAATCCAGAGCTTCTGCTTTGAAGTTAGTCACCCAATCCAGGGCATCTGGTTTGCAAGGTAGAACTCCAATCCAAGGGGTCTGGTTTGCAGATGGAAACTAGACTAGGGCTTCTAGTCTGCAAGTCAAAATCAAATTCAGGACATGCAAGGTAGAAACCACATCCAGGGCATGTGGTTTGCAGGTCAAAACCCAATTCAGGGCTTCTGATTTGCAGATCAAAACCAAATCCAGGGCTTCAGGTTTGCAGACAAAAGGAGGCCCTCAATGGCCAGAGATACGAAGACCGCATTCTCAATCATTGTATTCTCTCTCTGGGTTGAATCCTCTCTGGGCAGGGAAGACTCTTTGGTGAAGAACCAACCGAGGGGTGTCTTTGGAAGGACTTTACTTTGTATTTCAGCTTTGCTTGTCTAGACCAGTCTCGTCCATCGGTGGTCTGTAGGCAAAGGAGAAGCAACCCAAAGTCTTGCAAACAGGGTATCCAGTCGCCCTCATTCTCACGTCATTCCACCGAATTCGGGGCCCCCATATGATGCAACCTGGGGGCGTTCCACGTTTGTCGCCTCTGGTGCTCACCAGCAATGGGCAGAATTCCCCATCTATCCTTTCTACAAATAATACAGGTTTCCTAAGTTAATGTTCTGGGTTTCCTTTTGATCTTTTCCTATTTGGACCTCGGTTAAGTTTCTAGTTTCACATCAGTGGAGAAACGTACCTGTTGAGATTAATTTCACAATTCAGCAGCAGATCAGTTGCACAACTTCAGCGCTTTCCAGTAGCTTCTTCCTGCACAGTATTTTCAGTCAACTGCTCCCACAAACTGCAGTCACTCTGGAACTCTTTTACAGACACTTGAGCACATGCCCGGCCATTGTCAGTTTTACTATTGTTTTCCCCTCCAATCTAGATGACACTACAAACTTACCACAGCACACGGTTATATCTTGTCTTAGCAGACAGGTTCTTTTAATCAATTACATAGAGCCTTCGACGAACAGCATCACAGCACAAGGAGAGAGAATACACTGTACATGACTTCCTTATATACAATTCTATACAATTACACATAGCAATCTCTGATTGGTTCCCAACTCATTGACTTAACTCGAACCCAAGATTACATCATTCACAATCACTGGGACTAGGCCAGAACACATTCCCCAAATGAAGTTCTATATACAGTTAATGCATGACTCAGCATTTCCAATAGAAGCCTATTAGCAGTGCATGACTTAGCTATATTACATTACAATACATTGCAAAACCTGACAATACCTATTTCCAGTTCTATATTTGAAGGCCTTTTCAAAAACCGGATGATCGGGGGTCTGCATAACTAGTGTGGGCGAGGCAAAACTACGGTGAAGTGGATCTGGAATTGGTTAAGGAGATGAACCCAGAGGGTGATTCTCCCCAAGGCTTCCTCCTCTTCATCCTGGAAGGAAGTGACGAGCGGAGGGCCATCAGCAGGGTTCCCTCCTGGTCCAGGTCCTGCTAGACATACAACATATAGACACACAGAGGCAATTTAACATTCCAGCTTTCTGGCTTCATGAGGGTAAGATCGATTCTGGCCACAGGGGGGAGCTGCTGCTTCACAGTCCACTTAAACAAGGAAAATATGAAGGGAAAATACAGAAATGAGATGAATTGGGGGAAATCCTTAAAAGAATGGAAACATCAGAAAGGGATCACAGGAGCAATATACAAATTGATAAGGGACAATAACTATATGATAACAACAATAGAAGAAGAAGAAAAAGAAGAAGAACAACAACAACAACAACAACTTTATTTTTCTATCCCGCCTCCATCTCCCCAAGGGGACTCGGGGTGGCTTACAGGGGGCCAAGCCCAGGCAACATACAATTAAAAGCAAAACAACAGCAAGTTACAAATTTAAAACACACAGAACAGCATAACAGTATTTATTTATTATTATTTATTTATTTCGAGCTTCTATAACCCGGTCTTCTTGACCTCCGAAGAGGGACTCAGGCTGGCAATAAGATAAACCACAGCAAACATCATAATACAATAGTACAAAAATACATTAAAATACAATTATTTTATTTATTTATTTATTTATTTATTATTTAAACTTATATGCCGCCACTCCCCTGGGGCTTGGAGCAGCTTACAAGACTAGCTAAAATCTAACGTCAGCTGCTAATTTTGTTATACTGGTGGCAGCGGTGGGATTCTTTGTTCCCCCCTGCCTCAGATATCCTTTAATTTTGCTATAGTGTGGCTTACAAGAGGCCAAGCCCAAACAACAATTACATAAAATATAACCGAAAATGCAAATAATGAACAATAATAACGTAATTACATAAAACAAATGAAGATATAGCAATATAAGATTACAATAAGCGCAATCACAATGACAATGGGCAAGCTACATGTAATGGATAAAAGAAAAGCTGATTAAAAGCAGATTTAAAACTCAGGCGAGATTAAACAGAGACAGATTATTTGCGGAGGAGAGCTCATTATAGTGGAGGTCGTGGAACCAAGCTTTCCCATAAGCAGGGAATGTACTCCAATAACAAAAAAGTTGAGGCTAAACACTAGTGTGACGATGTAAATCTATTCCTATGCACACTGCACATATCTTATTTGTAGTGCAAAGGACACTTAAAAACAATACAATAATTAAAATGAAGAACAATTTTAACAAATGTAAACGTATTGGTTTTTCAAGCTGGAATGTGTCCAGAGGAGAGCAACTAGACCACACCTGGAATATTGTGTCCAATTCTGGGCACCACAATTCAAGAGAGATATTGACAAGCTGGAATGTGTCCAGAGGAGAGCGACTAAAATGATCAAGGGTCTGGAGAACAAGCCCTATGAGGAGCGGCTTAAGGAGCTGGGCATGTTTAGCCTGAAGAAGAGAAGGCTGAGAGGAGATATGATAGCCATGTATAAATATGTGAGAGGAAGCCACAGGGAGGAGGGAGCAAGCTTGTTTTCTGCTTCCATGGAGACTAGGACGCGGAACAATGGCTTCAAACTACAAGAGAGGAGATTCCATCTGAACATGAGGAAGAACTTCCTGACTGTGAGAGCCGTTCAGCAGTGGAACTCTCTGCCCCAGAGTGTGGTGGAGGCTCCTTCTTTGGAAGCTTTTAAACAGAGGCTGGATGGCCATCTGTCAGGGGTGATTTGAATGCAATATTCCTGCTTCTTGGCAGAGGGTTGGACTGGATGGCCCATGAGGTCTCTTCCAACTCTTTGATTCTATGATTCTATGATTCTATGACTATGATTCTAAGTGTGGGCCTGCCTTTGGCTGATGAGATAGGGTTGTTGTTGTTGTTGTGCACCAGGACTGTGGCGCAGCTGGCTGAGTGTCAGCTGCATTAAGATCACTTCTGACCGAAAGGTCATGAGTTCGAAGCCAGCCTGGGTCGGAGCGAGCTTCCAACCAATTGTGTAGCTTGTTGTCGACCTTTGCAACCCGAAAGACAGGTGCATCTGTCAAGTAGGAAAAATTAGGTACCACCTATGTGTGAGGACGCTAATTTAACTAATTTACGAGGCCATAAAAAAGACTCCAGCAAGCACTCCAGCAAAACAAGCAGGGAATGCGGAAGTACTTCACCAGTGTCGCAGATGGACGATGAAAGTTAAATAGCCTCTGACTGTCTGTCTATATCTGTTGTGTGTCTTTGGCACTGAATGTTTGCATTCAATGTGATGTGGCGGCAAAAAAAGCCAATGGGATTTTGGCCTGCATCAATAGGAGCATAGTGTCTAGATCTAGGGAAGTAATGCTACCCCTCTATTCTGCTTTGGTTAGACCACACCTGGAATATTGTGTCCAATTCTGGGCACCACAATTCAAGAGAGATATTGACAAGCTGGAATGTGTCCAGAGGAGGGCGACTAAAATGATCAAGGGTCTGGAGAACAAGCCCTATGAGGAGCGGCTTAAGGAGCTGGGCATGTTTAGCCTGAAGAAGAGAAGGCTGAGAGGGGATATGATAGCCATGTATAAATATGTGAGAGGAAGCCACAGGGAGGAGGGAGCAAGCTTGTTTTCTGCTTCCTTGGAGACTAGAAACAATGGCTTCAAACTACAAGAGAGAAGATTCCATCTGAGCATGAGGAAGAACTTCCTGACTGTGAGAGCCGTTCAGCAGTGGAACTCTCTGCCCCGGAGGGTGGTGGAGGCTCCTTCTTTGGAAGCTTTTAAACAGAGGCTGGATGGCCATCTGTCAAGGGTGATCTGAATGCAATATTCCTGCTTCTTGGCAGGGGGTTGGACTGGATGGCCCATGAGGTCTCTTCCAACTCTTTGATTCTATGATTCTATGATATGTGTACATTGTAATCTGCCCTGAGTCCCCTGCAGGGTGAGAAGGGCGGAATATAAATACTGTAAATAAATAAATAAATAAATAAATAAATAAATAAATAAATAAATAAATGTGTGCTTCCAAGTCCTTTCAGACTTAGGTAGACCATGAGCAAGGGCCGGATAAATAACCTTGAAGGGCCGTATCTGGCCCCCGGGCCTTAGTTGGAGGACCCCTGTTTTAAATTGTATGTTTTGAATCCCCTTTGGAGAGATAAAATGGGGCATAAATAAATAGAATAATACTAATTTCTTTATGTTGTTCACCTTGTTTGGGGTGGAACAGACGTATGTAAATGGACAAGACCACATATCAAACCTTCCTAATCTCAAACCACACTCCGAACTTGGTATTGTATGCGAAATATACCCCATGCGTGTATAGCCCATCCCACGAGGGTTTCTAGGGTGCTGGATAGAAAGGAACACATATTTCTCCATTCCGCTCTCCTTGCACATGGAAAGAAACTGGCATCATCACATCACAGCAGGGCATTGGCTTTGGCTTCTGGCGAAGGAGTGAAAAGCTGAAGCCGGAGAACAGCATTGGGTATTGGGTTAGTGCAGTATTGGGTTAGTGCAGTGTTTTTCAACCTAGGGGTCGGTACCCCTGGGAGGGTTGTGAGGAGGTGTCAGAGGGGTCGCCAACAACCATCACAAAACACAGTATTTTCTATTGGTCACAGGGGTTCTGAGTGACAAGTTTGACCCAATTCTCCTGTTGGTGGGACTCAAAATGCTATTTGATTGTAGGAGAACTATAAATCCCACAACTACAAGTCCCAAATGTCAAGGTCTATTTTCCTCAAACCTCACCAGTGTTCACATTTGGGCATATTGAGTATCCATGCCAAGTTTAGTCCAGATCAGAGATGTCCCTAGGTAATTTTCAACAGTAAGCAAACAGTATTTTGGAGCCCCCACCCCCCATCCAATCACTGATATATATTTTCTGTTCATCGTGGGAGTTCTGTGTGCCATATTTGGTTCAATTCCATCATTGGTGGAGTTCAGAATGCTCTTTGAGTGTAGGTGAACTATACATCTCAGTAACTACAACTCGCATATGTCAAGGTCTATTTTCCCCCAAGAGCGCCTCAAGAGCGTCCCTGGGCAAAATCAACTATACTGCAAATGCTTTGCGTAATGGGTTGAGCCGCCCCTGGTCCAGATCCATCATTGTTTGAGTCCACAGTGCTCTCTGCAGGCCCGTAGCCAGGATTTCGATTCGGAGGGGGGGGGGGCTGAGTTTGTTTCGGGGAGGGGGGCTGAGT